ATGTGTTAAACCGGTCCAACTAGTCATGCAGGACCGGCCCGTGCAAAACAGAGGCGGAAATCTTCCGCCTCTATTGGAGGCCAATCTGACCGCAAAAGCTAACGGAGCATCTTTGGAAGGTTTTTTGAGGAAGTTTAGAAGGGAAATTAAATGTAGGGACTGTTTAGAGATTTTCTTTTGAATTGTATGCATTAAGTAGTTTGTTTTCCTAGGGTTAGGGCATCTTGAATTTGGTTGAAATTTGAGATCTCCTAGATTTAAGTTTTCTTTGGGCTCTAGCGGCGTCTAGAGATTTAGGAGAGATTGATACTCCTCTCCAATAGAGGATCAATTATATCTTGCTATTTTTCGTTTCCCTTTGATCAAATAATACAAATTATCTATTATTTTCGTGATTTTGTGCGGATTTTTGTGAAGAATTCTTGTTGTTTTCCGAAGATTGATAGGAAATACTTGAGATCTACAAGTGTTTCCTATCAAATTGGTATCATAGCAAGTCTTGGGACCGTTAGAGGCTGATTTTGACAAATTTTAACGGCTGATTTGTGGCCGGGGAAGGAGAAAGTTGCTATTTTTGTTATCCAAATTCAGATTTTTTGAATCTACAAAGATTCAAATAAAGACTGTTGCCAAGAAAGTGGGTGCGCTAGAAGAAATACTTGAAGGGGAAATGAACCAAATCAAGATAATGGTGGAGGACAGGATTTTCTCCATGGAAGGACAAGTAGCCGATCTCCAGGACATGATAAAGAAAATGTTAGAAATCCACAACCAAACGCCGGCTTCAGTGGCAAAAGGGTTGGAAGGGAAGAACACAAATTCTGAAATTTGTAGGGAGGAAGATGAGCTGGAGATCGTGGAGGGAGAAAGAAGAAAACTCTATCTGGAGCATTTCCAGAGGGAGGATAGAGGAGGTAGGTATGAAGAAAGGAATGGGTATGGAGGAGCGGAGCAAATGCGTGCTGATCGGGAATGCCGGGAGGGACATTATGGCAGCCGAGGTGCTGAATTTGAAGGAAGGAGGAGGAATTCGAAGGTGGTTTGGGTTATGACAGGGCAAGGGAAGACCGGGAGACATGAGGAGGGCCAAACACTTGGGATAGGGAAAGCTATGGAGGAATAAGGGAAAATGGGAGAGATCAGAAGGTGAGGAAGCTGAATATGCTCATATTCGAATGGGAGGATGCATATGGGTGAATTTATAAGGTAGAGAGGTACTTCGCCGTTAATGGGTTAACAGATGAGGAGAAGTTGACAGCAACAGGCTTATGTTTGGAGGGGAAGGCGCTGTCATGGTACCAGTGGAGAGACCAGAGGAGACCCATCAGAAGTTGAGGAGAATTCAAGGGCTGCATAATAGAACGTTTCCAAACCGACCAGGAAGAAGATTTCTATGAGCAGTTCTTTGCTCTGGTGAAGGAGGGATCAGTAGCAGACTACCATGAACGATTTGAGTACCTGGCCAGTCAGGTGGAGCGATTATGAGATACAGTATTGGAGGGAAACTTCATGAAGGGGCCAAAGGTAGAGATCACACGGCAACCTTGTAATATCCAGAAAATGCATACAACAACAACAACAAACAACATCAAGCCTTTATCCCACTACGTGGGGTCGGCTACATGAATCCTTTTTCTCCATTGTGTCCTATTAAAAGTCAAATTCTCGTTTAAATCTAATAAAGAAAGGTCATTCCTAATATTTTCTAACCAAGTCTTTTTAGGTCTACCCCTACCTTTCTTAACATAAGTCAAATCTAATACCTATACTCTCCTAACCGGGTCATCGCAAGGCCGCCGTTTTATGTGACCAAACCATCTAAGGCGACTTTCTCTAATCTTATCTTCTACTGGAGCTACTCCAACCTTTTCACGTATATGCTCATTTCGTATCCTATCTCTAAGGGTAAAGCCACTCATCCACCTGAGCATCCTCATCTCTGCCACACTTAACTTAGTATTATGCTTCTCTTTTAAAGGCCAACATTCAGCACCATAAAGCATTGCAGGCCTCACTACCATCAAATATTAGTTATGCATGTAAGGAAAAATATATTTTTATAAATGAATATATCAAATATTAGTTATGTAAATATTAGAAGTAATATTACTTAATATAAAAAAAATTGCTAATGTAACTATATCTATATATATATATATATATGTCCGAATAAATGCTTGAATGGGAAGAGAAGTTTTGGCATTTAGTTATTGTGGTGGGCCCCATTATCCTCATTTCTTCTAATAAATTCACGCATGCAGAGATAGATGGAAATTTGTGATTAATCGGTAAGCATGCAGGCGGTATAGTGGTGCTGTGAAGAAAATCAGCCTGTATACAGCGGCTGAGAACAAAGGCTGAATGGATTTTGTGATTGTGAAGTGGCAGTGAAGGAAATAGGCAAGCATACAGTGGCTGAAGGGCTGGCAAGCATACAATGGCTAAAGAATTATGTGAAGACAAAATTTATTCTGTGAATTCTGTGAAGTAATGCAGTGAATTCTATGAAGGAATAAGAAGAATAAAATGTTGAGAGAATAAGTAAAAGAAGAAGAGAAATTGAGGAAAGAAGAATAAGAAAGAAAATTCAGAGAGGAAAAAACATGTATCATTGATTATATGCAGAGGGGCTACGAGGTAACTTATAATCGTCGAAGAGTGTGAATTAGAAAATTTGGAAGAGGCAGTTCGTCAAAGAAGTAATGCAAATTTAATTTTAAAGGCAATTTTGTTAATTTATGCTTGTATGTTAGTAATTGACGAATTAAGAAACATATGTATTACAAGTTATTTATTTTGATTAAGGATTTTCTTATCCAAATTTTCAAATATGAATGATTGTTTATATGATTTCAACATGTGAGTTAAAAATAAAGTTTAGTATGTTAATATAAATGTTTTCCTATTTGATAATGTTGTGGAAAAAAATCAAATTCCTTATATATGATATGCATATTCTTTGTATACAAATTTCAACAGAAATTACTATGAAAGCATACAACAATGTAATTATGAACTCTGAAAATGAGAAGTGAGGTGAATATCAATTTAAAAGTAAAGTTTGACTATAAATAATGTATAACTTACAAGTGTAGGTGGGACAAAAGGGTTCCATATATGAAATTACATTGTAAGTGGGACAAATGGGACCCCAGAGAATATGATACCTGCATAGCAGGTGGAGATAAAGGGACCCTAAAGAGGCAAAAGGGATATCTATATAATTTAATGGTAATAATGTCATATTTACCTGAGCTCCATTGAATATTTTCATGAAAGTTTAGTCAAATCTTTTAATGACTAAAATTGATATTTAGTGTAAACTTCAAAACATGTAAAGACTAATATTAAGTATGATTTTATGATGTTTTACAAATAATGATAAGTTTGTTCAACGATGATTTCAATGATGTGATTTATTAAAATATTGCATTTTAATTGTTAGTTAATTTGCATGCTTATTGAGCCTCATAGCTTACGAGTACTCTTCTTACTGGCTATTGTTATAGGAAAAGGAAAAAGTGAAGGTCAATGTAGAATAGGTTTAAAGTTCTTCTATTTTAAATGCTAGTGTTTATTGTTGTTTATGAGTCTACAATGGAGTTATGTAGATTGTTCTGTAATGTCTTATTTTGAATTTTATTTTGGATTTCTTAGTGGCTCTGTAAGTATGTTTTGTTGAAATTTAAAAGTATTAGGTGCTTCCGTTAATGTGATGAATGAAAAATGTTGGATCTTTTATACAAATTTTTCAAATGTTCAAAAGTTATCCTATGAAGAATTGATGAAAAAGTTATGTTTATATTAGTAACATTGTCAGTACTGTTAAAGGGTAGTTTGATACTTTGGGGTGTTACAAACCTAACATGAAAGAACTTCATGGTTGGTACCTTATGTTACACCAAACCAATTAGACCCAAATATCCATCCACTTGCATCAATACATGCATGCATGGTTTCTCATGAGTTAGTAACCTAGTAAAACTTAACAAATATGCCATCCAGCAATTCAATGTTGTGGGTGCATTTTAGAAAACTTAAGAACTATAAAGCAGTGATCAAATTAATCACCTTGCAGTTTCTGATGCTACATGCCAACTGTCCAAGTATTTTGGGATTCCATCACTACTTGGCCTTTGCTGAAAAGAAACCAATCTGTCAGCCTTCGTAAGACCGAAAAAAAAAAAAAGTGCATGGACAGGTAGCTCCTAAGAAGCTTATAGTCTTTAAAAAAGGGGATATTCAGATGTTCATCACTTCATCCACATCCCTAAAGCAGATTTGATTCGCTGAGAAGAGTAGTATCCTGACTCCTATCAATAACTTGAAACTACTTTTTTGAAATCCAAACGAATAACAAACCAAAACAAGCAATGCAGAATAACTGATGTGAAACATATATGGAAACATGAATTGCTTAGGAATTAATAACAAAATTGTGAAGCTTTGATAATTGTAAACTCAATGTTTCACAAAGATAAGGATATAGGATTTCTTAGTTGCAGTTATGCTTTGGTAGTCAGTTACACAAAAGATTTACAGAATGATTTAAAATAAGAGCAAAATTAATAATAACTCTTACTTGTATGCGAGCTCGAATAACCTGCATTGATAATAACTAAGAATCAATGACAATAACATGAATTATCATGCATTTTTCATAACAGTAAAAAAAACCACAGAAGGACAATAGATACTTAAAATCATCTAAAAAACTTTTGCCATAACAAGATGTTAATCTTGAAAATAAGAAGAGAAAATGCCTGTGATGGGTAAGTAAGCAGAATAGCAGCAACTTTCGAAGCGCCCCCAAGCATAGCATAATCAAAAGAGTTCTGCCAAAAAAGGGAGTGTTTTTAGAATAAAAAAAATAGTAGCTAATGGAAACATGAATATAGGCCCTTTTCTCCTTTCTGTTCTAGGAACGCAGCAGTAAACCACTACTAAATCTAAAAATGCCTAGTGAAACTTACATAGAATCCAATGAGAAGCCAACAAAATATTCTTTTATTGAGTTATAACAAGAAAAATCCGTTTATATATCTAAGGTCAGTCATTTCCTAAGTTTCTTATGCCAAATACCCTTCAGAATAGTAATGCAGAAATCTGCAACAGAAGTTGAGAATGTAAGAACTGTGTCACGGTACCAGTAACCTATCACCATCTTTCACGTCTGTCTTTTCTCTTCTAGATTTTAAATTGATGGCGACCTTCCGAAGTTCTTCATAAGCACAGAACTGAATTGCAGCATGAGAAACCTAGTAAAAATATATAGATATGTATCAGCCACAGTAAAAAACAAACTTCATTAAGTATATAAATGAAAACTAGTATTAAATACAGGCTAGCAAGGATTTTTTTTCTGCAGCTACTCTCTTAAAGGACCAAAATAGAAAAAGTTCACGATTATGTTCAAACCTAATACAAGTTTTTTTTCAAGGGCATGATGGACTCCATTGAATAAGTTAACACAAATATCTTCATTCAGCACTCCAAGAATTCAAGAGCTTCAGCTCTAACATCAAAGCAAAGCACCAAAAAGGAGATTGTGTTGGATCCGTTTCTTGATATTTTGAGTTTTGCAAAGAGAAGAATGTGATGAAAGAGAAAAGGAAAGGAGAGAGAAAAGAACTGCAAAAAGAAGATAAAGCGAACGAATTTCTCTAAGGGAGGCATAAGATGGAGAGGAATAAAATATAGGATTTTTCTAAGGGAGGCATAAGATGGAGAGGAATAAAATATAAAATAACCCTAAAAGCGAGAATCAGTGTGCAAAGGGATGCCAAAAGAAAGCATTTTTTACTCCATCATAAGCCAACTGAATCACAGGACCTTGGGTGGCATTTATAGAAAATGTCTTTATTGAAATGACAAAATTAGCTTTGAGCAATCAAATTAGTGATAAATGATTAATGGCATTATAGCCAATAATAGCTATTGTAATGATAAAATATGATATTAAATAAAATGAAGCAAAAATTCATCAATAAGAAATAAGGTATACTTGCACTAAATCACATAATAGAAAGCTAACAATGTACTAAGTACTAACACTAAAAAGGTGAATAGATCTTTCTCCTTATTGAAGGCAATTTGCGTTGTTGCCAAGTTTCACATCAATCTACACAGGATATGTGCTCGACCATTTGCTTCACTCATACCAAACAAAGATCAAGTGCAAAATCATATATTCATATTTTAATTAAACTAGAAACTATATAAAGAATGTCCAGAGTCAATTTTTTGGGGAACTTGCCCATTTGCATATAATCATGGATATGTATTAGGATGTCAAAATAATTTGTGTTTGCAACTCTACATATAAAAGCTTTCTCAAAAAAAAATTCCTTCGAGTTCCTTCAATAAACATGACCAATGACCAATTGAATATTGTTGCAGTCTTCTCTAACCTAGCTTTTTCCTCAGCAATCAGGAACCCATTGAATGCCTTGGAATGCAGTTTAAATTTTTCAGAGTTGGCGTATTAAAACACACAACAGACCATACCATATTACAACATGTGAAAATATGTCATAGCAGATGACTTACGGGGCAACCAAGGCATCACATGATAAAACTAGTAGACACGTATTAAGCTGCATGCTCCTTGCCATGTCCCATAGATGTTCTTTCAACACAACAAGGCTATAAATGACATACAAAGTGAACTCAGGCTATCTCAGTGTGAAAACTATTTGTAACTGGGAAAATATAAATCATATTTGAGATCTAAAAAATAACAAATGGATGTCTCGTGTACCCAAATTGTTCAAAAATGGTCATCATGTACCTGGCTCTTCAAAGCTAGAAGACACAGGCAATCATGGATCTATGATATGAGCACAATACTATTTATAAGATTCACAAATAATGCCACAGCAAAGATGATATTATCTTTTTATTGTCATCTTACATGAGAAGAAGATAGCAGGTCAGATTGATTTTAATAAAATACAAAAAAAAAAAATCATTAACTAAAATTCTTCTGTAGTTATTCCAATGGTATCAAGAGTTCTGTTGAAAAACAAGAAATTGGATAGCTACTTCCCATGCAAAAAAGTTCACTTTAAACAGCATAGCAAATTACAAACAAAAAACGAGTTTAAAAAACAAATAATCCAAAACCAGGTTAATAACATACAAGAAAAAGTCCAGATCCAATTCCCTTATAGAATGCTCTCCATCCTTCCTCTTTGAAAATGGTTCTTACTGCATCTGATCTAAGATAACATGTAAGCAAACTATTTAAGCAGTTCATCAATTAAAGCCATGGCAGAAAACTGCAATCTGTTAAAGTTGGAATAAACAAACAAGCACAATGAAACATAAAAAAACAGCAACCGTACAACAAGTAAAAGAAAATGAAAAATAACATCACACCATACAAAACACCAAAAATAAAAACCTTTTTCAAAAAAAAGAAAAAAAGATGAACCTTTTTCCATAAGGCGGACAATAATTGGGGTAGATGGCGCGCAATAAATGAATGATGCAGCTCAGACACAAGATTATAACCTAAGTGAGAGCAGTGCATCAAGATTGAGGATCATTATAATCATCACTACAAATCTTAAAGCCAAGAAGATTGAAGCAAGCCAAGTTGGGCCCTCCAACTTAGAATTTAAGCATGTGCATCAATTTAAGAACACTCAACTTACCATAGTAACATGACCGGCCCATACACAGTTTAAGCAAAGCCAAAGAAAATGAGAGTCATGGATAAATTTCTGCTTATTGAAGGCCTAAATCTTTTCATGCATATGACCGAAATCTAAATTAGGAAAGATAGCCACATTGGCAGGATGTAAAACCAACTAGAAGCATTGACGAGATGACAAACAAGGCAGGAGGCATTGGTGAAATCCTTAGCTGCGACATACTCTCATAGATTGCTAACATAGCACTCCACCATCTCTAGATTAGCTCCTCTATGATCAACAATTTTGTGTTAATTTAATAGGAAATATGTATTTTGTTTTTTTGTAATTTTTGCATTTATTTATTCATGTTTTTATCCATTGTAAAACCCCTATAAATACAGTCATATTGTGGGCCAAATAAAAATAACGAAATATTTCAAAATAAGTTACTGTATTTATATCAGAGATGGGTTCTTTCTATGATCTTAAAGCCTCATTAGCACAAATCATGAGTTCATGTGACGGATGATATATTTCCCCTCTCCATTCGGAGGTACATTGGACTTTATTGCTTATTTCTTCTCAAGAAAACTCTTGAATTCCTAGGATGCATTAAGCAAAATTATTTCCCATGTGACTTTAGAATCAGCATGGTTGAATTTCTTTATCAAAATCATAATTTCTACGAAGACAATTTGAAATTCCTAAAGTGGCCCAACTTCACCAAGAAATAGGACTCAAGTGATTGACTTTTACTATCTATTTCATTCTACTCAAAGGTCTCACAAAGAGATATAACGAGAAAGAGAAGAGAGAAAAGCATATAGAATCCTGTAAACTTGCTAGACTTAACTTCCATTTTCAAAAGAGTTGATGCTAATATTTGAGGGCTCTGAAATACTTTGAACAACTCGAACATTAAGTGCTCGATAATTCATCATGTTTTCTCAATTGGCATAAAAGCATATTGTTAAGCTTCTTGATCTACATAAAGTAGGGGAAATCATCTTTTGAGTAGGTGTGGACTCCTTAAGGAAGAAGAAGAGGAAGGAGAGAGATTAGAAAATGGAGAAAACATAAATCTTATTTCCTGAATTCAATTGCAGCATTTAGAGTCAATTTATAGAGATTTATATGAAACGGTTTTGGGTTTAATAAAGGTTCAGACAAATTGGTTTAATACAAGTAAAATAAAAGAACTATAAATGGGTTTGAGACTGATTTAATGCTGAAATAAATTGAACCACAAGTTGATGTAGCCGTCCGATTGTTATAGTGCTCCCAATCTTTGAAGGCTTTGCTTCCTTCTTATTCTATGATAGATTTTAAATATTTTATTATCTTGATGATGGTTTTCTGAATTGTTCACCCATACTTGACATTGTTATTGTACTATCTTTGAATCCAAAATGATATATTGTTGCTTAACACTTCTATCGCCATGAAAAACAACCTTATTCACAAGGTTGAAAGATGGAAAAAAAAAGTGCTTTCATGTGTAACTACTAATACTAAGTATTTGCAGGTCCTTCAAGATGAAAGGAAGTTATTCTAACACAATGATAATCAGGAGTATTGTGAAAATCGTAGTATTATTGTCCTTTAAAGGTCCATGTTTTGACGTCGAATTCATTAAAGCGAGGTAGTTCAATTTTCATTTATTTAAGAAAGGAGAAACTTGTATGAGATGGTGAAGGCAGTGGAGAAGGGATTTGATCAGCAGAATCAAGGATGCTGGCGGAAGAGAAAGGATCTTGACGCAATGAAGGAGGTGGGTGATCAATGCACAAACTATCAAGTTTCTTGTCAATAGAATGCATGAAAGTATGGAATTGTTGAAGTGATGATCCAATGGAGACAAGTTAAACATTGGCTTGTTCAGAGATATTTGGATTTTGGAGAATTGTAATTCTTGATTGGTTTGAATTGTTCAGAGACCTGTCAAATCTGCATTTTCATGCTGAGAGGTCTTTGGTGGCTGCTAAAAGGGAATAAAAGATGTAGTTCTTGATAAGAACCGTGACCTGATAGAATGTTAAAAGAATAAAGAGTAAATTGCACGAATTGGACTGATTTTGGAAGGGAAATCAAGATCTTGATGCTGCAGATTTCTGAAGTTGAGGCTGATGCAATTTGTGAAGTTGCCCTTGATGCTGATTTCTGGACCTGTTATTGATGTTGGAACCATCCTTGATTCTGCCTTTACTGTTATTTGCTGCTGAAAATAGAACTGATGGGCAGCAGATTTCTGTAGGTGAACGGAGAACTTAACTGGTGCAGATTTCTTGCTGTTGCTCTTGAATGCAGCAGATCAGCAGGCTGAAATGAAGGCTGGGCCAGTGGAGACTGCTGGCCCGCAGGATTAGGAGGTGGACAATCGAGTTTCAGTGGAGGAGAAGAGGTCTGGTGGCTGAAAGGAGGGCTGGCTGTGGTGGAGAGTGCTGGCCAGTAAGGTGTGAGGTGGAAAGGTATGTTATTGGGGAGAAGAAGAGAGTTGGCGGCTTAATACAAGTGTTTACTGCGGTGGAGACTGCTGGCCGGCAAGAGGAGCGAGAAATAGAATTTTTAGTGCAATGAGAGCACCATTTGTCAAGCTACTTGATCTACATCAAGAAGGGGACAATATCTTTTGAGTATGTGTGGGCTCCTTAGGAAGAAAAAGGGGAAGAAGAGAGATTAGAAAAGAAATAAAATAGAAATCTTAATTCCTAAATTCAATTATAACATTTGGGGTCTATTTATAGAGGTTTACATAAATCAGTTTTAGGTTTAATAGAGGTTCAAACAAGCTTGTTTAATACAATTAAAATTTAACAAAATACTAAAAATGGGTTTGAGCTTGAGACCGGTTTAATGCTGAAATAAATAGAACCACTAGTTGTTGTAGCCGACCGGTTGTTGTAGTGCTCCCAATCTTTAAAGGATTTGCTTCCTTCTTCATTCATGATAAACTTTAAATATTTTATTATCTTGATGTTGATTTTATCCATTCTTGACATTGTTGTACTTTCTTTGAATCCAAAAAGATATATTGTAGCTTAAAACATATCCAGCAGGCAATAATTCTTGAAAAACAAATCTCAAATAATCTATCGGGAACAAATACTAAGAATAAACATGAAAAAAACATACCAGAAGAACCAATATATGGACGGTTTTGATTGAAAGGAGTTTGAAGTTGCAATCTTGTCTTCACAAGCCAAATGGGATTTGTAAGCACGCATACCTGTCATGTTCATAATATTAGAATAATACAATATTGTTGCACCTAAATCATTTTCCTTCCAGGCTTTCGGTAGGCACTCTCCATTTCAGTTCAGTAACAAAATTTACAAATATAATATGATGACACATAATCATCTTTTTGGTCATGCTTCATATTCTGTGAAGTTCGGATAAATTAGGAAAAAGAAGCCCATTAATATGCCAAATTTGCTATTATAATAAAGAACAACTCTATGATGCTAAGATGGTAATGAGCCCACCAAACTCAAAAAGCAAAATAATGTGCAAGAAGAGGGATAAGAATAGGTCTACTAGGTTGCTAAAGAAAGTGAAAAAAGAATAGCTAGAAAAAAGAGGGCCTTAGCAGGAAGCAATAACAACAAATAAAAATTGGCATTAAGTTTAAAAACTTTAAAACCATCAAGTTACTGAACCCCTGCAACATTTCTATGTACTCTGAAATTAGAAAAAAGAAAATAAAATTCATACCAACCCTTGCAATACTCCAATTAAGCCTCAGGTTTGAATAAGAAAAAATTGCTAGCTACTTGAAAGTCGAAACCTTGAGCTATCAAGTTAACGTCTCCCTCCCTTTCTTCCTATTTCTCATATAACCTACATAACTTATAAGTTTACACAACAAACTCTAAACACCTAAACGTAGATAGCAGCTGCATCAAAAGATCCTAGCAATTAAATTTCATGTAATATTCTCCTAAATGGTGGGGACTGTTGTATGCAAAAATGTTAATGGTAGAGACGACCTTGCTTTCACTCGCAGCAATAATTATGCTTATGGGACAAAATCAAGGTGCTTTCCTTGGAAATTTTTGTGTTTTATTGCTCATGATCCTTTGTGCTCTCAAATCATGTTTGAAAAAAGCAAAAAATGCTTGAAATAAAACCCTTAACATTCTAATGATGCAAAGCTTAAGCTTCAATGATTATAATTTTTGCTTAAGAAATACAACAATAAATTCAAGAAAATTAAAAAAAAAAGTAAAATATATTAGCATATATTCATTTTATATATTTAGAGTGACAACTGATAGTGTAAACATAGAGTGAGTACTAGCTATAAAAGCTACGCTTATGTCCCTGAAAAGTAGCAAGCATTAGATACTTTGTTCAAAAGAAATGTTATGGAAACTGGAGGAAGTTGCAAAACTGCAAATTTTCTCCAACTGGTAATAGGTAAGTGTCGGCACCACCAAAAATCCACAAAGAATTTCTTCTACAAGCACAGAACATATTGGTAGCTCTAGATGGCTACACGCCAAATGGAAATGGGAAAAAGAAGTGAAGCAAAAAATGTGCCTCACGAGTGAAGAACCAAGGATTAAATAGACTTGCTAGAAAACAAAATGGGCAATAGACCTCAAGAGACCTTATACCTGATTTGAGGCTTATCATGGGCAAAATACCCATGGTTAAACAGTTATAGAAGAAAAAGCTCAATTGAGAATATCAAGCTGCTCTAGTTTGATTTAATTTTTTTAAGTGACATTAGTTATTTAGATTTGAATGGTCATTCAAATGATAAGAACAGATGGAGGTCTTGGAAAACTCAATAACAAACTCATAATTTTAACATTGTCGTTGCCAGGTCCCAAGTCCTAGATGAGAAAAATGGAGGGTTGCGTTAGGTAGTCGACAGCCAGCGTAAAACTTGTCGAATAATAATGACATGAATCCTTTAAGTTTTGCTTTAGTCATGGATGTTCTCACTAGACATTTGCAAGAGGATGTACCTTGGTGTATGCTTTTTGCTGATGATATTCTTCTTATTGATAAGACTAGAGAGGGAGTTGAAAGTAAACTTGAATTATGGAGGCCAACATTAGAGACTAAAGGTTTTCGCTTGAGTAGATCTAAAACGGAATATATTGAGTGTAATTTTAGTAGTAATAGACCTATTGAGGGGATTGTAACTTTGGGCGATCAAGTCATTAATAAGAGTACACGTTTTAGATATCTTGGATCTATTGTTCAGAGTGATGATGAAATAGATGGGGATATTATCAGCATAATTCAAATTGGATGGTTGAAGTGGAGGAATGCATCGGGCTTGTTGTGTGATAGAAAAGTACCCCTAAAACTTAAGGGAAAATTCTATAAGATGGTAGTGAGGCCTGCAATGCTTTATGGTGTTGAATGTTGGCCATTAAAAGAGAAGCATAATACTAAGTTAAGTGTGGCAGAGATGAGGATGCTCAGGTGGATGAGTGGCTTTACCCTTAGAGATAGGATACGAAATGAGCATATACGTGAAAAGGTTGGAGTAGCTCCAGTAGAAGATAAGATTAGAGAGAGTCGCCTTAGATGGTTTGGTCACATAACATGGCGGCCTTCCAATGACCCGATTAGGAGAGTAGAGGTATTAGATTTGACTTATGTTAAGAAAGGTAGAGGCAGACCTAAAAAGACTTGGTTAGAAAATATTATGAATGACATTTCTTTATTAGATTTAAATGAGAATTTGACCTTTATTAGGACACAATGGAGAAAAAGGATTCATTTAGCCGACCCCACATAGTGGGATAAAGGCTTGATGTTGTTGTTGTTGTTGTTGTTGTTGTTGCTGCTCTGCCACTAAACCAATTCTAAATAGTCAAAGGATGTGTACAGTGTACCATTTGGTCTTTGCTCGAGGGAGCCTAGCTAAAAAAGAATCAAGGGTGTGGCCCAAGAAACCGAAGGTAAAATCCTATCAAAGAGGTTTTTTTTTTTTTTGTAGGCCTTAGCTAACAAAAAGTTTTCTTCTTATTCAGATGGGCCAAGTAGCCGAAAAGTTTGTGAGGCATAGGCCATTGATGACTTGTTGGGTTTTTAAAAGTATGACAATTTGCTTCAAGTGCTCATCTTAGGTAACCATTCAATTCAAATGAAACTACCCAGCCATTGCTAACCTAGAGACTAAGCAGCATGGCTGACCAAGTTAAATTGATGTAGCATATACTCCTTTCAGGCTCATAATGATGCAATTGCAAATGACCAATCTCATAATGCTTCGCATTTTAGAGATTTTTCCCATTTGTTTTTAAGGTTTTGTAAAAATCCTTAAGTGTCGTGAAAAGAAAATATGTAAGATAACATAAATACTTTGTCCTTCTCTATCTCATGGTATTTCATAGTGGAGGGCAGGCAGCTTATCAATAACACAAATATATAAAATCAAATTTCAGGATTTCAATGTTTTGCCTTGTGCTTCGAGCTGACACATCATTGCATCACTTCAAAGTAAAAAAAATTTGTACACTTATAAAAAAACAGTAATAAATAATCCATTATATAAATCAGTGATGGGAGAGATTGTAAAGAGAATTACTATGAAAATACAGCTTGGCAACTAGAAATCAAATGGAATGTGTATTGCTAAGCCTATTAAAATGTCCCCAACAGAAAAGCTTATAAAAACTTAAAGTTCTAAGCAAATAATTAGTATAATAGGAAGAAGCACATCACGAAAAGGAAACTAGCAGAAAACATCAAGATTTGTTCTATCAACATTGAAATATGTGTTAACACACTAGGAACAATAAAGCATTTGTTATTTGAAAGTTAATTTATCATTAGAAACAAAACTTGAAGCAAAACTAGAAATCTTTTTGCTAATCAAAGTGGAAGCTTCAATTCTGACCAGAGCACCTGCTTCTGCGGCTGCAACAAGATGGTAACCAGGGCTGAGACTTTGATCAGAAACTTTTGTGTACCTAGCCTTTGCTCTGCTATAACTACAGAAAGGGATGGAAGAGTTTTCTTAGATTATTCAATCATTCGAAATAAAAATAAAAATTTGACTAACAACAGAAATTTGAGGATGAGCACAGTAGATATGTATGGCATACAAAGAAAGAAAGTAGGCACATTTCTATTTGGACCTTTATAAAATCCAAAAAAAAAAACAATCCCAACTTAAAAGGATGAACTTTCATATTCAAGTTCATATTCGTGAGAGAAAACATTAAAACATTAAACTAAAAAATTAACAATAAAAATAAAAAACAAACCCCTTAAAAGAATAACAACACTTTCCAAGTAAATGCAGATATAGTGAGTTATGAATGCATGATTATGCGTTCAATTTATAATGCATAATCATGGTGAATCTGAACACTGCTTCACAATCATGCATTTATGACTAGCAATATACTCTCATGCAAGTTACCTCTAAAAGGTCAAATTGTTCAGATTAACAACCAGGTACAAAGCAATTGCAAAATATATAAATCTCATAAAACTCTGGGAAACAGTAAAATATTGATGAAGATAGGATATGCAAGACAGTGAAGGTAAGGAGAAAACCACAGCTACTGTAGTAACAGTATGTTTTTAAGCCAGTAAAATTAAAAGATATGACAGTTATACATTTCTAGTAGGAACAAGATGGGTTGAGTTTCTACTAGAAAACAATGATATTTAGTCAATGAAAAAGACAAAGACCTCAATTTCAAATAAATATCCATAAGATAATAATATTCCAACCAAATCAATAAATCTCTTCACTTCGAGTTGGTCATTAAAAAGTTTGACAGAGCTCAAACCAGACATCTTAAGCACAAACCTATCAAGTATAATCGCTTTTTAAAAAATTTGTCATAAATGCAAAAATGAGGCCGGTAGGGCTGTGCATAATATGAATAAAACCAAAATATCGAACCACACTGGTCTTATTTGGTTGGTTTAACTTAGTTGTTAAATTATACGTTTGGTCATTTGTTGCAGTTTAGTTTTTTTGGGGATTTTGGTTTTTATTTTTGTAAAATCAATCAAACTAAAATTTGAATTATACTAATTTCTTCAAATATTAAATCAGTAAAATCCATGAACTATTAAGTTTTCTTTTACACACAATGTCAACCTGCAAACTGGAAAAAAAAAGACCCAAATAAAAAATATTAAATTATAAAAGCTAAGAAACAAATTATCATACTCTAAAATTGACAAGAAGTCAAGGGAGAGACCAAGCACACAGTGAAAAGATAGCAATAAGGGAAAGCAATATAATTAGGCTTGATGAACCTATGGAGCAAGGATAACCAAAAACAATATTACCAATTTTATGCTAGTTGTTACTATGCAAAATCAAATAAATATTTCTTTGTTGTGAGGTAAATGATTCATCTTGATTTTGCAGAAAAAGTTTAGCATGTCTTACAAGAAGAAGTACAATCCCCATGAAACTGTTGACCCAAAGACTGCAGGATAGAAACCTGCATAAAGCCCTCTCAAACCCTGTAAGGAAAGTCAGCAAGAATGTTGGCAATTTGATGCAATTAAGCAATCATAGCACTACAAAAGTTTGAAAGGTGCCACATAAGTGAACTAGGGTTTAGGGTTTCTGGTCTAGGGTGTTTTATTAATTAAATTCAACAATAGAATCTAATGCCCGTATGATGTGCTACACTATTAACTGATTGCAGACACAATTTTGATCCACTGAAGCCAATAATTAGATATGCAACACTTTCATCCATGCAAGCATATTTGAGTTCTTATGCTCGCAAAAATTTGAATCATCATTGTCAGGATAATCAGGGTTGCCGATTGATTCCATAGAAGCCAAAAAAAAAAAGAAAATGCATTCACCGATGCAAATCCTCGAGATTTTCTTGCTCTGTAAAAAGTGTGAGAAAGATTAAAGGCTTGGAGAAGAAGACAAACAGTAAAAGATTTCTATGTATGTTATGAATACAATACAGAGATATATATAGAGTTGAGCAGAAGATAAACCCGGTAATAATAACAGAATACAGGGTATTATGGTAATAGTGCTAACAGCCTCCCTCAAATTAAGTATTCAAGGATTGAATACTTAATTTGCTTCGTAACTCACTGAACCGAGAGACCGAAAGAGGCTTGGTAAGAATGTCGGCGATCTGTTCTTGAGACGAAACGTGCTGTATTTGGACATTTCCGGCAGCTATGTGTTGACGAATAAATTGAAAGTCGATTTCAATGTGCTTCGTTCTAGCGTGAAATACTGGATTTTTAGCTATGGCAATGGCGGAGATGTTATCACAAAGAACAGGTGTGGGGGACGGTTGTTCAGCTTGGAGTTCCCCGGCCAGGCGTCTTAGCCATAAAACTTCCGAAATGTTGGCTGAAAGAGACCGGTATTCGGCCTCGGTTGATGATTTGGCGACGGTGACTTGCTTCTTGACGGTCCATGAGATGAGCGTGCGTCCAAGGAAGGTGCAGAATCCCGATACCGATTTCCTGTCCGAACTGTCGGAAGCCCAATCCGCATCGCAGTAAGAATGCAACTGAAGATCACCGGGAACAATGGGCAAACCGAAGTTAATAGTTCCTTTAATATAGCGTAGAATGCGCTTGATATCTTGAAAGTTTTGGACAGTGGGAGATTGCATGTGCTGACAAACTCTGTTGGTTGCAAAAGCGATATCTGGCCTTGTGATGGAGAGATACTGTAGTGAACCGGCTAAGCGCCGGTACAGAAGAGGATCGGAAAATGGCTGATCGGAAGACGCCTTTGATTTGGAGTTTGAGGTCATCGGAGAAGGAGAGCTTTTGCAATCGGACATCCCAGCTGTGTTGAGCAGAGAGGCAGCATAGTGGGCTTGCGAAAGAAATAGTCCGTGAGCAGAATGTTGCACCTGGATGCCCAGAAACAAGTTGATCTTGCCGAGCTGTTTGAGAGCAAAGGATGAGTGAAGACTGTGAAGAAGAGATTGAATAGCGTTGTGATCATTTCCTGTAAGAATAATATCATCGACATAAATAAGAAAATAGATTTGTAAATTGAGTTTAGTAAGGATAAGTAGAGAGGGATCGGAGCGACTAAACCGGAATCCACGAGATTGAAGAAAGTCAGTGAGTTTTTGAAACCACTGTCGCGGGGCTTGTTTGAGCCCGTATAGTGATTTATGGAGCTTGCACACTGCTGTTGGATTAGTGGGATCAACGAAACCTTGTGGCTGCTTCATATAAATGTCTTCGGTTAGCTCTCCGTGCAAGAAGGCATTGGAAACGTCTAATTGGAGGATATCCCACTTCCGATTTAGCGCAATTGTGAGAAGTAGACGGATAGTAGGCATTTTGGCGACCGGACTGAATGTCTCGGTATAGTTTTCACCAAATATCTGACGATTACCAAGTGCCACTAATCGTGCCTTGTATCTGTGCACAGCACCTGAAGGAAGAAGTTTTGTCTTAAAAGTCCACTTACAACCTAAGACGTGTTTATTAGGCGGCGGAGAGACGAGCAACCAGGTATGTTGATGTCTGAGCGCCATGATTTCAGCTTCCATTGCGGTTCTCCAATGAGGATGTTGAGCTGCCTGAGTGTAAGAAGTAGGAGTTGGATGTGTATGATTAGTTGTAGTGAGGGAGTAAATGGGATTCGGTTTTGATATTCCAGATTTAGATCTGGTCTGCATCGGATGAGACGCGATAGCCGCACGCGATATCGTTGGAGTTGGTTCCCGAGAACTGACTGAAGCTGAGGTACTGACCATAGGAACTCTGGGTAGCAGATTATCTGTAGAGTGGGAATTCAGCAGAGTAGATGACGATGAAGAATGTTTGGTATGAGTCACAGAGGAAGCCGGAACAAGAATGAGTGGCATAGGAGTGTGGTCGGTAGTGGTTGGCGGGATTACAGGATTTGAAACAGACATCTGAAATGGGAAAATATCTTCGTGGAAGACGACATGTCTGGAAATGTGGATTTTATTGTTGCCCAGGTTGAGACAAATGTATCCTTTGTGAGCTGTCGAGTATCCGAGGAAGACACATTCAGCAGATCTAGGAGAAAATTTGGAGGAGGTATAAGGCTGTAGCCACGGGTAGCAGAGACATCCAAAGACCCTTAGGTGATCGTAGGCCGGAATCTTGTTGTATATGATTTGATGAGGAGATTTGTGAGACGTATGTTTGGAGGGAAGACGATTTATCAAGTGAATGGCCGTAGAAACAGCTTCACTCCAGAATTGTGCCGGAACATTGGATCCTTGAAGAAGAGTTCTTGTAAGATCAAGGATGTGCCTGTGCTTTCTCTCCGCAATGCCATTCTGCTCAGGTGTGTGCGGGCAGCTGATGCGTTGTATTATACCTTGTTCTTGTAAGAAAGAGTTGAAAAGTTTGTTAATGAATTCGCCGCCGCCGTCGCACTGAAACGACTTCGGCAGAGTCCCGAACTGATTCTGAATGAGATTACAAAATATTTTAAACTTAGAGAGTGCTTCGTTTTTATTGTGCATGAAATAAATCCAGGAGTGACGAGAGAAGTCATCTATAAACACAACATAGTAGCGAAAACCATGAGACGAAGGCAGCGAAGCCGGGCCCCATACATCCGAATGAATGAGTTCGAATGGAGATGAGGAAACCGACATGCTTTTATTAAAAGCAATTCTATGGCTCTTGGCCGTATTACAAGCTTTACAATGATTAACCGAGGAGAAAGTAAAAGAAACAGGTAGATAACGAGCAGCGAGTTGAAGAGTCCGATTGTTCGGATGTCCTAATCGTGCATGCCAAAGAGAAGCGTCATTGGATCTTGTGAGGAGAGCGAGCGGTGGATCGTCAGGAATGGAGGTAATGTGATAGAGACCGTTGCTAAGTCGACCACGGAGTAGAAGACGGTGATCCTGAGAGTCTTTCATTTCGAAACCATTAGCGTAAAAAGTAATATAAATGGAGTTATCCGCAGTTAATTTCGAAACTGAAAGCAGATTGTGAGTGAGTGCAGGAACGTGTAAAAGATTGCGTAAATAAAGCTTACGCGCGGTGTCCGGCAACGGTAGTAGACCATGACCGGAATGTTGAATGGGAACGGAAGAACCATTGGCCACCGAAATGGAATCTTGACCGTGATAAGCCGAAGATGTTTGAAGATTAGAGTTGTCTGGTGTGAGATGAGAGGAAGCGCCTGTATCAAGAATCCAATCTTGGGTTGGATATGAAGTCGGAGTAGTCAGCATTGCGCGAGGATTTGAAACTGATGTCGGGGCATATTTGAGATCACATCTGTACCAACAATTGAGAGCAACGTGACCAATCTTCCCACATATTTGACAGATGGGACGAATGTTTCCGCTAGAAGAAGTGTTGCTGGTAGTCTGCGGGATGGAGGAAGAATTGGACTTGGTCTTGATAAACCGTTTAGAGTTGCGATTTCGAGGAGGATTGTTTGGCGCGGCGTAAAGAGCAGGAGAGCTTGTAGTCTGTTCTTTTGCAATTTCCTGATTGAGATGGATTTCCTCATTGCATAACAAGGCGTACAGGTTGTCCAGATCCGACGGAACAGGCGAGGTGCGAATGGATGTTTTGAAAGAATTATAGGTGGCGGGAAGACCGTTTAGTATGTGCAGAATAATGTCTTCCGGGTCGACCTTAGATCCAGATGCAGCGATATTGTCCACGATATTCTTGATTTGGGAGAGATATTGCTGCATCGTGAGATTTTTCATTTGAATATTGTGAAGCTCGTTCTTGAGCTGCATAACCCGCGAGCGGCTTGAGGGTTGTAGACGACGCTCGAGAGTCGTCCATGCTTCGTAAGCTGAAGTTGCCGTGATAACATATGGGAGAAGAGACGGAGAGATCGTGGAGAATAATGCGGAAAGGAGAAGACTATCCACAAGTCTCCAGTTCGTGAAAGCAGAGGAATTAGCGTCTGAAGGAGAGACGGATTCACCAGAGAGATGGCCGGCGTAGCCCGTTGCCGTGAACTGTTGAAGAACTTGAATTCTCCAAATGGCATAATTATCGGTGGTAAGGGGATGAGGAATTAGATTCTTGACATGAGAAATCAGGAATTTTAGAGTTGCCGGAATGGAGATTTCAGCAGCAGAGGGTGTTCCGGCGAGCGAGGAGGGAGGGAGGGAAGAAACGGAATCTTGATCCCCCATGAGAGGCTCTTGATACCATGTGAGAAAGATTAAAGGCTTGGAGAAGAAGACAAACAGTAAAAGATTTCTATGTATGTTATGAATACAATACAGAGATATATATAGAGTTGAGCAGAAGATAAACCCGGTAATAAT